GTTCAATACAGCCTCAACCGGGTGTAAAATCAACATAATTCTCACGTCTGGTCTCTTTACTTGCAGCAGACGGTCGAAAGATCGTGCGTAGTATCTTGCTCGAAGGTAAACGTTGTTACTTAAAGATCAAGACTCACACCACGTCTAATTATGAGTAACAGAGGGGCGCACAACACAACCTACCGGGTGGTTTTTCTTCATTTTGCTGCGATGCTAACCAAAATTGATCATTGAAATTCCTAGCACCAACTGGGGTCAGGATCGATCGCAGCTATTCAGAACTTGGTCACTACGTATATCGCTTCGACCATATCGGGCTGAGCTCACTCACTTCACCCTAGCAGTAACTTTGTGTTGATCTTTGATGATTGAACTGTCCAGTTTGGTCACTTCTAATGACGACGACCAACAGTTTTGCTTGAGCTCTAGCTCATCCTAACGATACACAACAGAGTTCAACTGAGCTGTTTATGAGGCATTTCAGTCTCTGCAAAATGCGGTATAATGAAATAGGTCGATTTAATTCGTTTGAAAAAAGATACACCATCTAAGCTAAGAGATGGACGCCTCAGGGCCGCCACGTGAAACACAATAAATTGAGCATAATCATTATATCTCATTTTCAGTTTATGTAGCCATTAATTGGTTTTGATTTCTTGTTTTCGGTTACCAATTGGGATGAATTGGTAGAGGTAATATTTGAATGTTGGAGGCAGTGCCACTATGAAGATACGGGGTTCGAATAGACTTTAGTTGTGAGGAAATAAAGTTGATTTACGAGTGACACTGTTTGCGTTACAATTGTACCACCTGGTCTCCTTTGATCGAATACACTGATCTCGAGATCCCCGTCTGGGTAACCTAACGCGACCTGTATGACCGAGTCTCTCCCTGTTAGGTCATGTACTACGAAGCGGTTTACTTATCATTAAAACTCAGCTTGCAGTCGCTAGATCATTGCCGTACCGCCGATTTACTGTCCCCGGTAGTTAATAATTTGTTTCCTCTTCACTCATACCGTAACCCTTGCTTTTCTGGTCACTGATAATAAGTGTTTGCCCCAAAGTTTCACATGAGTGGCTCGCAGCCATGCCTCCCCCAGACTAGCTTGCTTTTGAAGCACCGCACTTTCTGCTTTTCCTCCTATCCACTAGCTAGAGATCTGGAAGTGCAGAATACGCAGTGTTCATCTGCCCTGAATGGTTCTCCATTCGCATCTCATACTACGATTCATTTTTATTGAATAGGCCGCTGGACCGTGCGCAAAGCTGTCCCTTTGCTTACCGGTTATCAATTTACATAACGCCAATTGTAGTTTCGCTTGCCGAGCACGTGACGCGGAAGCGCAATCAAACTGATGTTAATTATGAAACATGATGTGTATCACTCTATTTGTGCACAAAATCTATCGTATTTCTTTTCATCACCAAAACCGTCGGTATGTTTGTGCTGTTTTTTCCCGGGGATAGTTGTCATTGAACTGAAGCGTATTCCTCGTTACGGACTTCACAGACTGAAACCAAAAAGGAGATGTAGGTATCTCAGTTTACAACATAGTGAAAACACGGTGATGAACAAAGCAACATTTATTCCGCGTTTCAGTTGCCGGTGCTCAAAGTAGTCAACCGAAGATAAGTAGAAATATAGACAAAATAATTAGATAAATAAAATCCTTTGATGTTCGAATAATAAAAAGTGTTTTTCCGATTCGGCCGAACTCATGAAGTCAATCGTAAGCATAGTCGAATTGGGCCCTGTAGAATGAGGGCAGAGAACGGGACAAGGAGAGAAGGAGGAAAAAATAAATAACATCAAAAATGAAAACTCATGATCGATTCATTCTTGCGTTTTTAGTTTGTCTTTGTAAATTTTAAGGTTGCGTGTTTCCAATTGGGTAATTGTGCTCAGTGATTCATAACAGTCATGTTTTCACTGACGACACCTTAAACGCTCTCCACCTTATGGAGCTCTGTGAATTAGGTATCGACGATCATGCTGGGTGCTTTGCTGTGCAGTACTGAGTCACATCCTTCAAAAAAGAGCTTCTATCTTTATTCAATCAGTTATGTCAAAGTATTTGATAATGAACACAAACAATCACAAAAAGCTGGTGACAAAAAATTTATCGTGTTATCAGTTATTTCTCCAGTAGCTGGAGCAATTTGCCCGTCATACATTAGCATAAATGAATGAAATAAGCAGAGTGGATCTGACAACCTTTTGGCTAACCTATGAAGTAGCAAGCGTATCGATACCTCTGAGATCCCAAGATCGTTATATTCTAAAAGGCGCAAATCGAAACATCATTTTTCCTGTTACCGGTGTCCAATTATCTAACATTCTGCGGTGGTGATCCGTAATTTTAAATTACTGACTGTGTCTGAAGTAATGCAACTGAGATTTCTCATGAGTCCTTTTTTCGAATATCACTATTTCTGAGTCTCAGACATACTCGTGAACTAGCCACCGGACATACACCAAAGAAACTCCGTAATAGCGAACGAATGTGGAAAAAATTGTGCATAAAATATACTTGCAACGCCCCAGCAAAAAACTAAATAGAGAGAAATTATTATTCCGCAAGACAATGCATCATTGTCGTGGTTTGCTCGAAGATGGTCTGCTTTCGGTTGAGAAAGGAATTCCTTCATATTCTGTGCTGGTCACATTTTGGGGTCTAATCTATACGATTACTGCCTAGAAGTCTTAAGCCTAAAGTCGTTGCGAATCTATATGCTCTATGCTCAAAAGAAAAGAGGATAAACTCGTATTCAGTCTCGCTTTGGATATCACAGATACTTAATGGAAAGTTACCCAACAAAGGTTACCATCGAAATTCCGGTCGACTCCCGAGAGCCTGGGTAAAGCAACAAAGAACCCAAAAGAAGAAACAGATAAGTGACAAACGAGCACTGCACATTATGCGGTACGTTGGTTAATAAATACACTTGCATACCATTGTCGGTACCACATTTTTTCACCTTTCGGCCGAATTCAATAGTACGAAATAGGTGATTTTCGATGACTAAATACCTAGCGCCCATGACATGTGACGTAAACTACAATTATATCAGCGAGTAGCCCACAGAGGGATAAGCCTGATAAGCTTAATGGTTCTCCGCCGTTGTTTCCTTAAGTTCTGAGCGGAAAAAATTGTCGACGGAAATGTTTGACGAGTTTTGTTTATATA